AAAACGATACAACGAAAGAGAGAAAGAAAGCGATAAAGAAAAAAACAAAGAAAGAAAAAGTTGTAACGAAAAAGAATCAAAAGACAGAAAGGAAGAAAGAGAGAGAGAGAGAGAGAAAGAAAAGGAGAAAGAGAGGATGAAAACGATAAAGAAACAGAGAGAGAAAGAAAAGATACAACGAAAAAGAGAGAAAGAAACAGAGAAAGGAAGAGTGAAAGAAAGAAAGAGAGAAAGGATCAAAGAAAGAAAGAAAGAAAGGGTCAAAGAAAGGAAGAAAGAAAGGGGCAAAGAAAGAAAGCGAAAAAGGAAGAGACAATGTAAGAATGGATAAAAGAAAGTAAGGAATAATGAAAAAAAAAAGGAGAAAAAAGAATAATAGAGAAGAGGAAGAGACTAGTAGGATAGAGAAGAAAGAAGAAAAATATGTAGGTGAAAATAATAAATGATAATCAAGTATAATTATGTATTCAATCAGACATGCGAATGAGAATTAGAAGAAAAAATGTTTGTGCATCTCCTTATCATTGAAGACATTTTTCAAGTTGGAAGCGAATCTCTTGTTGTACGCATGCGCACATGGGAACTAAGAAGCGTATGCGCGTGCGCAAAAACACTTGGCTTTATTATTATTTGCGCCTGTATGCTTATGCAAGTCGGAATAGTGTGTATGTATGTGTGTGTGTGTGTGTCCGTCCAGAGGCATGTAAGTATGTATGTGCATGGGTTTCTGTGTGTTGATGCGAGATTTTCTTTCGTTGCTTATTAGTCTTTACCTACGTGTACGTATATAAAATCTATCTGTTGTATGTGCGTGTGCGCGTGTTTCTTTCTATGCGTGTATGTACTAGGACGCGTATTTTTTATTTGGAGATGGTGGGGTGGGGCTGCATATGTGTGCGTGAACAAGTATGCTTTCGTGTGTGTGGGTGGGTAGGTGGCTAACAAGAAAGTTTTTTTGAATATAAATGCAGCTGTTTAGATCTACATTTCGTTGCTTATCTCAACCCGACTACACACCTACGTGCACAATATGCACACGCAGACATGTACATAATAAATAGGCAGGAATTAGTATCTATCTATCTATCTATCTATCTATCTATCTATCTATCTATCTATCTATCTATCTCTGTTTGGTGCTTTATCTAAATGTGGTCATCTCTCTGTATATATACACACACACACACACACATATATATATATGAAGAAATATAGTCTTAAGATGTGCTATATTTATGGGATAAAGTGCTCAATATTAGAGATAGAGCGTGTAAATATAAAAGTGAACATAAAAGTCAACACTTAGAGGCGACAGTCTGTTTCATGCTAGATGCAATCGTCAGGCCACGATATATATATATATATATATATATATATATATATATATATATATATATATATATATATATTTTCAGTTTTCTCTCTCAATCTGTCCATCTCTTTCTTAATCTATCTATCTATCTATCTATCTATCTATCTATCTATCTATCTATTTAGCTAGCTAGCTAGCTATCTCAGGTTGCAGCTCTATCTCAATCTAGTTATCCCCTTTCTCTTTTTTTTCTTTCTCTCTCTCTATTTAAGCTACGGCTTACGGCCATATCACGTTGAACAATATACCTAACAGAACAGAGTAATCTGTCACTATACACAAGCGGGAGAAGCGTATTTTTCAGTTCATTTATACAATCAATATTAATATCGAATAAATTGAACCTATTTTTATTTACCCGTGTTCTGAGTTTTTCGTTGGCTTGATATATACAATGCTTACAATAGTCTGGCACAAGGCCGCATCTTTGAAGCTCACACCAAGGATTAAACTCACTACAGTATTAATAGCCTTCTTGTTTGTTAATAGTCATAGTAAAGCTCCGGTCTTTATACATGTGTGTGTATATGTGACGTTAATTGATATTTTATCTGATAATACGTATGAAATTAGACTTGTCTGCCTCTGTGTATGTGTGAGCTTGTGTGTGTGTGCGTGTGTGTGTGTGTGTGTGCGTGTGTGTTTCTCTCTTTTCAAGTGTTGAATTTATTTTAGTAGGGGAATTCAGTCAGTGTGTATTTTCGTGCAAGTGCGAATTTTACAGCGCGTCTTTGCTCGCACAGTGGCAACGTTTCTGTCGTGCCTACTTAACTGAGTAGGATTAAATTATTTCCCAAATAAACAGCCGCTTTATGATCGTAGTTGCACGAAAGAATCCGTGCGACAAGAGAAAAAGCATTCAAATTCAAACTCGACAAATCCTTTTCGTCTGTCTGTGAATATATTTCTTTCTTTCTTTCTTTCTTTCTTTCTTTCTTTCTTTCTTTCTTTCTTTCTTTCTTTCTTTCTTCACGTTTCTTAATATCCATCTATCTATCTATCTATCTATCTATCTATCATCTATCTATCTATCGTTGTTCTATCTATCATCTATCTATCTATCTATCTATCTATCTATCTATCTATCTATCACGTTGTTCATATCTATCTATCTATCTATCTATCTATCTATCTATCTATCTATCTATCTATCTATCTATCTAAATTGGTTCATATCACTCTATTGCAATTTTTCATATTTATCTAAGCCGGTTTTATTCTCTCTCTCTCTCTCTCTCTCTCTCTCTCTCTCTCTCTATCTATCTCTGGTCATACTTTAGTTTTTACTGTTTATCAAGACAGGTAGATAAATTATCTAATCCCTTCAAGGAAAACTGCTGCAGCACAGTCTTACCGTCATTAATTGATCTTATCCTTTCTTCAATCGTAATTAGCTATATTAAAACTTGAAACTGCTAAAATGCCAGTTTCGAAAATGTTCGTAGATCTTAGTCCAGTTAACGGGGGAGGAAGTGAAATATTTTGCCATTTGTAATGTAACAAAAGTATTCATTTATTTCGTTTCTTATTTTTTTTTTTTCAATTCGGAAATATGACGTTTCGGAAATTTTCCTAATCCGAATTGGTTTCCTAATCCGAATTGGTTTTTGTTTAATATTCTACACTGATAATATCCAAGTGTATATTATATAAGTATGTTGGTAGGTAAATATATGCCAACCTGTTTTAAGATAATCAATAAATTCCGAGATTGAACAAAAACGCGTGCGATTGTTCAATTTGACCCGAGCAAGAAGCCCTTCAACATCCCGCCAAAAAAGAAAAGAAAAAAAAAGAAAAAAAGAAAAAAAAGAAGACTATTAGTTTGTCATTTGCTCAGATTCTAAGAACTGGCTTGAGCCGAGAACTTTTCAGCAGCCCCTCGGAATTCAATTACTAGATTTACAAAGGTCATTTCTTAAAAAAATGTCATGTGATTTTAAATTCGAAAAAAAAAAAAAAACCCCAAAAAAAGCTAAAAACAAGAAAAAAAAAACAGAAACTAATTAGTAAGGCGTGCGGGTTGTCAGTGCGATGAGTGGAATCGGCGACCTGAGTTCAAGCTACAACCTAGTCTGTTGCATTCACTTTCGCGCAAATCCGCTGGAGGAAGTCATGAATCCTAACTCTAGCTATAGTTTAAATATTAGTCTAGACTGGGCTCATTAGTCTTAGGATGGCGGCCAGACTAGAAGAATGGTAACTGGAGACCACTTCAATAATTGTTCTCAAGAAATCATAGCAATTCCCAGAGATTAAAGAAAGAGAAGCTGTAGAAAACCACGATCGCCAACGTCCTGAAGAGATATATCATTTAAATGGAATGAACATTATTCTCTCCTTTATTTAATTATCCTGATATAACGAGATGTGCGCGTGATGTTAGCAGACTCATCACGAAAGATCACTTTCGGAACCGGTTACACTCCGGTTACGTATCTGTGTAGAATTAAACTAACGTATACATCGGTTTATCCGCAAAAAAACAAAACAAAACAAACAAAAAAAAAACACATATATGTAAATAAAAACAAATAGTTTATTTATGCATACACACGTGTAGCAAGGAAAGAAAGCGGAAGGAAGGAGTGAGACGCGAGCTTGGCATAACGATTAACAACCAGTACCGGAAACAAATTCGGAGAACAGGGTTCGAATTCGAACTGAATCTCCTTAGGTTCATCTTAGCATTATTCACGCTACCAGTGCTCTGTTCTCTCCTCCTTAGCATATCAGAGTTGTTGATGAGAAGAGCGGATGAACCACTTTCCCATGACTAACATACCTATATATATATATATATATATATATATATATATATATATAAATAAATAAATAAATAAATCTATCTATCTATCTATCTATCTATAATTGTTATGTACAATATATATATATATTACATATATAATATATATATAATATATATATAATATATTATATATAATATAGATATAATATATATAACTGTTATATATAATATAGATATAATATATATAATTGTTATATATATCTAGATAGATAGATTTTATATATATAAATATATGTATATATAATTGTTATATATATATATATATATATATATATATATATATATATATATATATATATATTGGCGCTTCCTCTGCAATAAGTCAGTTCTTGGAACTAAGCAACTGACCACACTTGTTGGAACTAGTGCCCGTAATGTGCCACAAAAGTTTGGAATTCAGAGTTGTTCTTCTAGACCGGTAGTAACCTAGTCTGTCCTGATTTTTGCCTATAAAAGTGTTGGATGCATATCGCTCCAAAGACTATTTTCACGTAAGTGTATGTAACGAACTCGAATGGAATTCGAACTCTCCGATACCTTAATCCCAGCCGTTATTCATTATGCCACAGTGCCTCCATAATATCTCTCTCTCTCTCTCTCTCTCTCTCTCTATATATATATATATATATATATATATATATATATGTATGAGTGTGTGTGTGTTAGTGTATACTGCGGCCTGACGATTACGTCTAACATGAAACAGCTTGTCGCCTCTGAGTGTTGACTTCTATGTTGACTTTTATATCTATAGTTACATACGCTCTATCTATGATATTGAGCACATTACCGCATAATATATACCACACCTTAAAACTATATTTTTTCATATATATATATATATATATATATATATATATATTGGAATTTATTCCGTATATACCAATCCTATACTTGGATATATATGTGCGTTAAAAATATACAGTGTTCACACATACACACACACGCAATATCTATCTATCTATCTATCTATCTATCTATCTATCTATCTATATATATATATATATATATATATATATATATATAAAGCCACCAATCCATCGTTTAAACATATTTTATTAAATAACATGGAGAAAGAATGTCTGATGATCTTTTCGACATCAGGAGAAAATCAGCAAAAGGTACGCTAACATGGATTCTTTGTTCATTCGATTATATATATATATATATATATATATATATATATATATATATAATACACACTGACACACACACAAACGCACAAACATACACACATAGGTACACACACATTGAAATACGTACACGTACACTCAATTTTACTGTTTCTGCTTGTCTATCTATATTAATAAAAACAGTATCCTAAAGTAAAATAGCTTATCCTGCGTAAATATT